CGAGGAATAATAATGGGCGGATATTTTCAGACTGGCTGAAACTTTTGAATTTTCATGTTTATAACTAAATCTCTCAACCTTGCTAATAGGCTACCCTTTTTCCTTTGTTTTATTTCTTAACTCAATTACAACGGGGTCACTCTCTCTGATTTTTCGTAAGTTTTCCGGCATGGCCCTTTTTCTTGTGTAATTATTTAGCTTTTGCCCAACAACTAATATCGTTTCATGCAACAAACTTGTAACAGGAAGTTTACTCTTTTTCTGATCTTTACGCTTTTGTAATTTTGATTGAGACACAATTCAGAGAGATGGTTCTTGTCTTGACCAACATTCTGTCATAGTCTAAATAGGAAAAAAAACAATTTGTTTACAAATTCGACTATAGCAAACTTTACTGAAATATCAGATTAGATATATATACAGCAATCACTTCGAAATAAGAAGATTTTATTTTAAAGATATCGTAAATAAAACAAACAATGTAACAGGAAGAAGAGAATTAAAAGAACAAGTACAAACATTCTGCAAATATCTTTTAGAGTAAAATTTCGTTTTTTTTAAGGCAACAGTTACAGATTTGATCAAGTAATTATTCCGAATGGTATTTTTCCTAAAGTTTAAATTGCGTAATTTTTGTAATTGCATTTTTCTTAATAAAAATCATTTATATCTCCGTAATCACCCCATTCCCAGCTATAAATATTCCGAACATTAATTTTCAAACATTTAGAGATGTATGTTGCAAAGTTAAAAATAATCATATGTAATTAAGGCCGTTAAATCTTGACTTCTTTTTTTTTTTTGGTGTATTTGCAAAATGTTTGAAGGAGTTAAAAGGGTCTGAAAAACATCGTTGTAGGTGTTTGTTGAGACGGTTCCTAATGGGATAGGTGTCCATGGTATGGGTAGTTATGTCGTGAGACTCCCATTCAGTGAACCCCCGGGTCTTGAAGCTTAATTTCTTTACATGGTACAGTCGCACCCGTCTATGAAAGGGCCTTTTATCCAAAAGCGGCGTTGATATTGGGGCTAGGTCCAGTCATATGGTTATATTTATTCTTTCTACGACACCCCCGAATGTCGCAAACCTCCCGACACAATTCCTGGGTAAATGCCCGGTGGAGGTGAAAGAAAAGTAGGTTTCTGGGTATTAAGGGTAGGTTGTTGGCCAAGAACATTAACTGGAAGTACTCCGTATACTTCGTTGGCAATCTAATATAGAAAAAGAAATCAATCAATTAAATACATTGTTTTAACATTGTTAAACAGCTGAACTGGGTTGCTCAAAACACTGGTTAATTTTGACCACTGGTTAAGTTAGCCGGTGGTTAAATTCTATATCCACTGGCCAACTAACCGCTGGTCAAATATCTGTTGCTCAAAATAAAATTAGCCTCTGGTTAGCTAACCACTGGTTAAATGATTTAACCAGTGGTTAGTATCCCACAATGCATTACATTTGTCCGTCTGTCAACCAAAACAAAAATGGCTTCCAAAGTAGATGTGAGTAAAAAAAGGAGTAATAACTTCACGGCCGACGAAACTTTGTTTCTTATTGAGGAAGTGGTTTGATGTCATAAAATCTAAACAAACGAATCAAATTACTAATACAAAGAAGGCACAGGTTTGGCAGGAAATTACTAAATGCTATAAATTCAATGGGAGGATCCACAAGAACTGTGGATCAAATCAAAGAAAGGTACAGAAAAGTGTGTACTAAGGCCAAGGCAGACATTATCTCAATCAAGAAGGACCGCGTTAAGACTGGTGGTGGGCCACCACAGCCCTCACTGAATCTCGTGTCACAGAAAATTGTGGACTTACACACTGATTCGCCAAATTTCTTTGGAATAACTGGAGGGGTGGAGGTGGGATTACACTTACCAGGTAAATGTATAAGCAAAACCTTACCTTAACTTTTTTAGCTGTATAAAACATGAATGCGTGTATCTATGTAAACGTCGTCTGCTATGCTGTGCATCTGAGGAAATTCGCACGAGTTGCATTACTATATTCTCGAGGTTTGATACGTTCTGTCAGAATCACTTCAGTGTAAACTGTATAAAACTAGATACAAAGGTCTAAAGCTATCTAAAAGAAACTTTGTCATATTTATATCTATCCTACACTAATCGATGGTATCGGTAACAATAGGCTAGAAATAATAAAGGTCATGGCCGTTACAGGGGTATCACCCCTAAGGCGTTTCGCTCCGTTTTAATTTATGTAAATATGGACACATTTTAAAGTAACTATAGAATATTACTTAAATAATTGATCTGTAATCATCATAATTGAGGAAAAATAATTTTAATCAATATAGATCAATATCTAGAGGTGTAAAATGTGCAATTTTTTCCTATTAGGCCTAGATGTAGACCTATAAATAATTATCTTTTTAACTTATGATTACAGAGGTAGACCTTCTACCTTACTCAACTGATTGTGAGAGTTCCAGTAAGTATAAGCTTTTGTTCTGCTTGCATTAAAAAAATAATACAAAGATAATACAAAAAAATCTTTTTTTTAATATATATTTTCTTTAAATTTAAAATCAAATCATAGGCATAAATTAAATATAGAATAAGTAAAACAAATAACAAATAGATAATAAATAAATAAATAGGTCCCTGCTTGAATATACTCATGTACATGTATAGATCAGGATTTAATTGATTTTTTCCCCCATTAGATCTTGCTGGTAATAATACAGTTGAAAATAAAGGTAAATTTAATTCTAACTTGTATGCATAATAGAATAGCATTTTTTTTACACAAACATTAGATACTGTACTTATATATTTTATAAATCCATGCACCATGAATTGTAGTAAATGTTAACCAAGAAGAAGAGAAGGCATGTGCAGGTGATCACTTTATAAAAGAGGCAGCAAAGGACGGAAAAGGTAAGCTGAAAATTAGTTATATACACTTATAACATTTACTTACTATAATATCAATAAAACAAAATGTATAAATTATGCAGATATTTCTTCTGCCTGTACCTGTTATCTAGCTATATCAGATATGGAATTCGAAACATTTCAGAAACTGATAGTCTTGCCACAACTGTGATTGAGCTTCCACACAACTCCACGGGTAATAAAATATTCCATACACAAAACAAACAACCATACACTCAATGAAAATTTTATTGCAATTTTGAAATCTTTTTTGAACAGTGTAGTATAATTTTGCGTTTTCCTAGGGTCAACTGTGACTTATGATGTGACTGTATCAAAGTCAGGAACAAAGGTCAAAAGGGCAGATGAAGTCAAAGGCTTGAATGTAGTTGGCATTTCTTCTAAAAATCCATGAAAAAAATGTGGATCATATTCATTTAGAAATTATATTTAACAGATTACTCAATTTTTTAATGATCTTGTTATTTTCTTAATATTTTAAAGAGAAATGCAGGAAAAGAAAACACACAGATGATGTTGCTGATCTCCAAGTTCAAGTATTACAGAAGGATCTGATCAGAATCAAGGAGCAGACTGAATTAATCAAGTTAAAAAAAGGAGAAGACAGCACTTGAAATACAAAAATTAAAGATGAAACTTTCTACTTTGTGTAATCAGAATGAAGTATAGTAACAAATACAGTGGTATTAAAAATAAGTGTCAGTAATAAATTGTCTGACGTTTTCATTTCTAGGTGGGACAGGAACTACTGGATCATTCACTCTGCCTTGTTCGCCATTGTCATCTCCTTCAAACATAGCTTCTTTCCTCTCAAATGCAATATTATGCAAAACAGCGCACGCCACGACAATTTTTGCAACTCGATCCGGTTGACACTAAAATGTACATAAGTTTTTTATCTATACTTAAAAACTATTAAAATGTTACGTAATGTGGATATACCTTGGAATATTTCAAATATGATATCTATATTACCATAAAGATTTTATTATACTTTGGAAATATTTGATTTTTTTTTCATATGTGAAATGACGTTGCAGGAAAAAAATCACTTGTCAGAATTCTTTCCCTTTCTAACCAAATATTTCTATTTTGCATTATTTGAGCAGTTTAAGTTTACAGTGTATGGTTGCATATAGAAATTGTAGATACCCTTATTTCACCATGCAAAACCATGAAGCGCCTTTTCCACCAACCAAAGGATCGCTCAATAATTCCTCTTGTACGTGTGTGCGATTCATTGTATCTCATCTGAGCCCTTGAAATAAATCAATAAATAAATACCACAGGTACTTCCAGACAGGGGCATAATTCAATGACACCCCTTCTACTAATTAAAATATTTTATTTTAATTTTTTTTTTTAATTTTAATCTCTGACCACTTCAGCTTCATGTTTCTGATTGAAAGTTACATTAAAATTATGGGAATACAATTTGTATTAACACTTGTTACCCCTTTTACCCCTTGTCACAGACGCATGATTATGTCCCCAAGTATTTGTGATATATGTGCATCTATGTACTTGTAATACATAATTATACTCTGCATAGGCGTCGGAACCGGGGGGCTGGGGGGGGGCTTAGCCCCCCCCCCCACTTTTTTTTTCAAAGATAGACAAAATATAGACATTGAAAACTGGGGCTTACCCTTTTCCGTTGGTTTAGCCCCCTCCCCCCCCCCACTTTCAATTAGCCACCCCACTTTCAATTTGCTTCCGACGCCTATGCTCTGTGCATACCAGTCACATATACATGTACCATTTTCAGTGATATATACCATACTATAATTATGTATAACCTATTTGTTTATATATATCATTGTGAAAACTACACAAGCCCTATCAAGGTTCATTGACATTCTGATAAGAGAGATGACTCTCATTTGGATTAATGACTAAAACTAAAGCTATAAGGCAATTTCTATCGGTTTTATTCTGCATGGTACACTATAATTCTTTGCATTGAAATTATAAATTATAGATTTACTTTGGAAAAAAAACTATCATTTATGAGAGTGACTGGAAGGATGACAAACATTAAGTGAAGATATTTTAATATGATTGTGTCACAAAATCTTACTCGGAATTTGGACGCAAATATGGAATCAAAAGGTATCTTGTGCAAGCATAACCACCGTCTCCAAGTAAAACTCCATCCCTGTCAATACCTCTGTGGTAAGTTTCCAAAAAGGCCCCAACATCAGATTCACGAAAAATGAAGGAATCATGATTCGAGCCTGGCCATTTAGCCACTACATTGATGAAACGTCCTAAGTAACCGAAATATAATACATCGTTTGAAGGAAATAAATGCATGATTGTCAGCAACTTTGCACCAATTTCAAAGTGTGTATGTTCTGACTTTGGATAAAAAAAATTCCTGACAGGCTAACACCGGATCTTATGAAATTATATCTTTTATGACCTTAAAAAAAACTGAAGGGGGGGGGTGCCCCATTAATTTTGCCGATATATATTTAGTATACTAAAGAAAACACATAGCTACTTCATACTCCTTGAGGCCCCTCAATAAAAACGTCTGATGCCCCCCTTTTTTTGCTTGTCAACGAATTTTTGCATGGTAGTGCCGAACCCCACCCCACACAACTGAAAATGTTAGGTCCCCCCCCCTTAATTGCTTTTTAAGGATCTGTCAATTTTGAAATTCAAGAGTAGAGAGCAAGAATAAACCAAAAGAAAGTGGAAGAGGGGGGCAAAAGGAGGAAGACCTACAATACAGCATATGTTAACATGTACTATATACAATTATATTTTACATACAAATATATCGAAAAAGGGGAATGCACCCCCACCCCCTTTCCCACGTTTGTTGCCATTTACCTGCATCTCCATCTGAATACAAGCATTTCCTTAAATAAAATAATGTCTACAGTCAGCTAGTATACAATTAATTATGATGTTACTAGTATATTCAAGTGCAGAAAGCAAACTTGCCTTGATGATCACAGATTCCCTGTACATTAAGAGAATTATATCCTTCTCTATTTACGTATACATTCTCATGCAATGATGGTCCAATAATCCTTACATGTGTGCCATCCACCGCACCAATGACTCCAGGAAATTTTGCTATGCTGTAGAAACCCCTTTTGATATTGTTAATTTCATCAGCAGAAGTGGGCCACATGATATAATCCTCTGCAATGTCAACGAGAGCCTGAGATACATCTCGAACACTCCTACAGACGCTGGAGACATGGAATCCCATCGTATCTCCTATAGTTTTCATGTTGTCACCCGTTGCATAATATCGCAAAGCCATTTCTACTTGCCTTATCGCTACAAGGGACTGTGATCTCATAGTTGGGCGACATAACTTGGGTTTTAATAAATTTGCTAAATATTGAACTGTTTCTTGAGAAAACCTGTATCTTTGTTGATACTCATCAGCATCAAATTCAAAATGAAAATGTCTATAAACTCTTTGTTTCCTTTGTCGTCTGCCGAAATTCACATCAAACAACAACCTAGCAGCCATGTTTATCCACTGGATAAGAGACTTAACCTTCCTCTGTGGAATGGCTAACTTTGGCCAATATTTAACCACTGGATAGCGAAATTAACCAGTGGATAAATTTTGAGCAACAGAATTTAACCAGTGGTTAAAAGTTAACCGCTGGATAAGAGATTTAACCAGCGGTTAGCGCTAACCAAGGTTTTGAGCAACCCAGTCCTGGTTTTTTTTTTTCAGTGTTTAATCTTATAACTTACCGACTGGTTAAGAACTTATGATTGTACCTTTATTTACTATTCCAGAATTTTTTTGCATGACTTTGTAGACTGGGCCACACGTGGTCATAAGGCCGACCACTCATTATCTGTCTCAAAGTGTTGTTGTGTTTAATATACGATGGTTTCAAAATTCTCCCCCTCTTTGACCCGCCGGAATGACTTGAAGAAGCTAACAGCGTATTCAAATTCTTCAGGTAATCTTTTCTGAGACACTTTAACAACCTTGGACGTATTTCTTCGTTCCATTTTCTGAGGTTGAATACAATCCCAAGTCTAACTCATTTTTTTCTGTAATTAAAAATAAATCTGATTTATACTTGGAGTGATTTCCCCATAATCTTGAGAAATTGTTCTATGACATAATTATTTTCCCCTAATACATTCTCACTAGACACATTTTGTTTCTGTGACTTCCTAGGTTTTACCCACAGGCACTTGTTTCGGTAATATATTTTTAACCCATAGTATAATAATAACACAAGGTATCTAACTCCGAATTACACTGAGTACCCCCCTCCCCCAGAATCGCACTCATTTACACTTTCAGAGGAAATACACTTACAAACTGTTTATACCTATGTTTTCTACGATAATTTATCTACACAACCATATATGGCATGCTTGTCTTTATTTTCTTTAGTCTCCGTAAACAGCGTCAAAACTCTGCTCGTCGAGTGGAAAAGTTGAATTCAACCATGAAATTGTATGTGCTAATCCCGCACAGAGATTTTGATTGGCTAAAATCTGTTTCTAAAATTACATCGGATAAACATCGTAATATTTTCAGGGAAAATCAGACGTAAACGAGTTCTATTTACTCATGCAATATTTAAACACTGGAATTGAATTTTTAAACACACTCATTTTTAATTTCTGTTCTCTGTGCGGGATTAGCACATACCATTTCATGGTTGAATTCGACTTTTCCACACGGCGAGCAGAGTCTGACGCTGTTTACGGAGACTAAAGAAAATAAAGACAAGCATGCCATATATGGTTGTGTAGATAAATTATCATAGAAAACATAGGTATAAACAATTTGTAAGTGTATTTCCTCTGAAAGTGTAATTGAGTGCGATTCTGGGGGAGGGGGGGGGGGTACTCCGTGTAACTCGGAGTTAGATACCTTGTGTTATTATTATACTATGGGTTAAAAATTTATTACCGAAACAAGTGCCTGTGGTTTTACGTTAGGTTTATAACTAAGATCTATACTTTGCGAACACTTTTTATTCTGTACTTATACCCGTTTTCTGGGCATTACAGGTGGTTTCATACAATTATTACAGAAGCCTCTATTTAACTTGTCGTTATGACATTTAAGATTTAAACCGTCAACTTCCATTTCTTGTTCTTCAATTAACTGCTCAGGCGAATCACTCATAGTAGGATCTATATCTAACCTATAATCTTCATTTCCAGAATTAGAGTATTGATAATTGTTATCAATAGTAGAATCAGATTCACATTCCATTTGCGTAATTTTAACGCGCAAATTTGCGTTAGATGCTATTAGATGGTTATTATTTACCTTGTTTTAATTTCCATTATTGTTTCGCAATCGTTTAAAGCACAAGCACGGATTCTCCTCCTTAACTCTTGTAACCGAATATCGTCCTCATCAGAGGAATTTTCGCGTTCGACTCGTTTTCGATTTATCAGTCTTTGTAAGGCTGGCTGCTCTACTTCCTGTTCAATTTTCGCTATCAGACTCATGTACTGGGGGTACTACATAAGGCGCGTTCTCCGGAATTTTGTGAAATTTCCCACTCATTAATTCGGGCATGATGAAGGTGCCTTGCGTGAGCTTTAGTGGTGGTATTATTTAACTGATTTTTAACAACAAATCTAACGGGACCTGCTTGATCAACAATGCGGTAATAGGGTACCAATTTTTTATCTAGCTTACAAGTCCTACGATTAGTTTTGAAAGAAAGAGGGTCACCTATTTGAAAAGTTTCTTCTTTGCTTTCTTTATTGGCCTATGTTTCTGTTTATGTTTTGCCTCTTTCAAATTCCTGTAAACATTTACAAATGCCTTCGCAGTACAGTTAAGGCAACATTTTCTATAAAAAGGCACCAAAAACGAGACACTTAAAGTACAACCGTCTTATTTTTTTAGCATGAAACTCTATCTGAAATATCTTAATGGCTTTATGAAGAGTTTGTCCATCGCTTTTTACATCGGTATTTTTTGTCATCATGTGACCCTCTACAGTCACGTGAGCTCCGATTTTAGGTCAATGTTTCATTGTGTCCCTTGCTATCTATTCTATCAAAAAACTAATGCTCATTCAGTCAGATTTCTGAGATATTTAACTTATTCATTGAAAACAAACACCAGTATTCAAAAATAGGGTATTTTTCATCATTTAATCGGAAATTTTAAATTGCCTAATGAATTACAAAGAAATGAGCATCACTTTTTAAAAACTATACAGTAAAATAAAGAATTTAAAATAAAAACCTACCTCTTGGTTTGTCGCCTTGCCCTTGCACTTTTTGATTAAAAATTGAAATCTTAACACATTCATTCTAAATATAGTTTTCAAACGCATCATTGACCCGGCATGGGAGATAACTCTGTGGTACTTAATAGAGTTTGTGTACCTCGCAAATTTTAAACAAATAATACCTACGGACTGTGCTGGGCTTTATTTCACTAAATCAAAACGGTATGCATAAAAAAAATCCTCGACTTTACTTTGTTTTGTATATCTTCGTTCTTTTATACGCTACACAAGACGTATTTGACACCTACCGCATTTCCTCCGTTCGTCAACAATAGGTCTAAAATTTGCCGCAACATCAATCATGTAAATCAATTTGAAAATGCCCATGGTTAAAAATATTGAAAGCTTCAGTCATCTGTAATAAACAACAGACAGCCCCTATCAATGATGAAATATTTATGCTCCTCCAGTAGACACACAGAAAAAATATCTCCAAGAGAACTTTTTTTTTAAATACATAAGTGATTCTTTTAGTTATCAAACCTTCAACTGTTTAGGGATTCTAGACTACGTTAAAAGTTTTAAGAACAGTAGGAAGGGATTGGGGTGCTTACTCCTGTATTAAATAACCTGTTTTCCTTTCTAGAGATGTAACCCCCCCTCCCCATCACCATTTTGCCTCTGACTCCTTTTTATACCATATACCTTACGTACATGTTACAAATAAATTATTAAACAGTGCTTACATCAGGTTTTACTTATTTGGGTATTGTAGCACACAAATCACACTGCGGGGGAGGGGGGGGGGGGCTTTAGTCTCATTTTTTTGAGTTATCAATCCATGCGCAAACAAGATAATCATAGTAAAAACTTTGTAACCAAGAAACAGATACTCTGTTAAAGAACAGGTGAACACATTATACATGCTGAAATTTAGATCTTGTTGATGCCCCAAAACACAGACAGGCGCGTAGCCAGAATGGAAGTAAAATTAATTGTACACAGAGAACGGCTGGCGTCCGCTTTGAGGCCCCCAGTGGGTCGAAGGAGAAGCCCTGATGAGGGCCCAGGGGCGAAGTCCCTGGAAGCTCATGAGTTTTACCAAATATTTCTTTCAAAATCATGCCATTTCGATTTTCTTTAGAACGTACAAGACATAGTAATATTGGTTTTAACACAAAGTTAAATACTTCCATGCAAATTTATTGTACATGTAGAGGCCGAATATTTTTTTAAAATGATATATTGGTATCATCTACTCTTTTTTAACTTTCAGCAACAAATATAATTAATTTCAATTCTTAACAAAAATAATGTTATATATCAAATCATATACTAGTGGATCACAGCATTCAACGGTTGATATTTTCTCAAAGATCTTTAAAAATTATCAATGTGTTGTAGAATTACAAATTAATGAATGTTTTATTTGGTTTTGGCAATGATTTAATAAAACATTATAATTTTGTTATAAAGACTTGGTAATATAAAATTTGAATTTGAATCGAAACAGTATGAGATAAAATAATTTGAAACACAAATATTTGCTGGATGGTATTGATATTTTTTCTCTTCTAATAAATCCCCCCCCCCCTTTTTTTTAAATTTGAAAACGATGTGTACGCACCTGCGCATAGGCAGCTACGGGCCTGTCAGAATACATGCAAGTAAAGATATTCAAGTCTTAACAGCCTTCAAACTTTCACACCATTGTACTGTTAAAAATTCAAAGTATTATTTATCTACAAAATTTATTTAATTTCAAAGGCAGGCTGTGAAGGGATTTCTGAGCAGGTGCAAAATATTTCAAACAGTCCACAGTTCAAACAGTTCTTCTGGATGAAATCAATTCTGAAAACAAAATGAAATGCCATTATGGAAAGTTCATTGGTGTTTTGAAAAAGTGATACTCAAAACAATGCATTGAATAACATGGAAAACATATACATGTATATATTTGTAACTCTACTGTTTTTATTATCAAAACATTTCAATAATCTTGATATGAATGGTTTATACCTAATATGGAGCATACCTTTTTATTTTAATGGTGCAAACACTTGCTGCCTGTTCAAATTGTTTGGGAGTAGCTACAACACAATATATATGTAATGAATGAAATACATAATGATTACTATTGTATGATGAAATAACATTGCATTGTGCAAAACAAACTACATGTATGCTATACTATATTTTCTGAAATTCATAAAATAAATGAAAACAAACTTTTGATAAGAAACTTTTCTGGGAAATTGAAACCTATGACATTTGCAAAACTAGAATTCATTGGTAGCTAAAAGTAAAAAAAAATCAATATACTAAAGATAACATTTAAGCCTTTCACCTAT